AGAACAGCAATTCATTATGAGGAATTCACACAGAGGAGAAAGATCACAGGGCTTTGTGACATGACATGATAAGACCAGGCATCAACAGACAGGTTTATCACTAAGCAACAAAAGCAAAAAAATAAACACCTCCCTAAAAACCAGTTTACACATCCCTGATGTCTCATTTTGATTCCCCTCTGGAAATCCTAGTCCCTATCCTTTTTAAAATGATTTTACTACCTAGAGGTGTCAAGATGCCAAAATATTTTTATTTAGCAAATCTATACCAACAGAATAAAAAAGCCTTCTATTCAGTTTACCTTATAACTGTGACAAATAAGAACATGGATCTATTTAATAAACTCAACCACCATATAACGTCTTAACTTCCTAAGTGACTAAACATATCAAACATTTTAAGGGAAGGAAGTGTAAGTCCAGCAGAGCACACTTTGGGGAATGATGTACTGAAGTCAGAACATTCTCTAGGAATCCAGCAGCAGCATTTCTTAATGTAATCAATTATCTAAGACTTCTGCGAAAGCTGACTCACAGTTCAGAAAAACAAATGGTATTCAAGATAGCACAGAGAAGTCACTCAAAATAGCACACCAAAACATTTACTTCCATGTTTACTTAAGTTCTGAAAAATTCCAAAAAGGAATTTGCTTAAAAAGCTCCTGCGTATTACAGTTTTGCTCTAAATTATCTCTTCAAATTTAAGCTTCACATCCTCAGAACCAGGAAAGCCACCACCAATATCAAGCAGATACATGCTGAAACCAACTTCAGCCTAGAGTCAAGAAAATTAAGAAGTCAAACAAGCAGTTTCATAACAAGTAACAACAATGTATGCAGCAGATGAGCGAAAACCTCCTAATACTGTGCCAACTGCTACAAAAGGTTAATTCTAAAATTAAGACTAGTTGACAGTCCTGCCCTGCCCTGTCCCTTATTATACTCACCCCCACGTCAAAGACACAACGGGCATCAAAGATGGCATGAACGAAGGTCTCGG